TTTTTTCAAATATTGTGTAATGCACCAGTGCAGACAAATACACTCTCATCTCACACACATGTTTGCCCCCATGCAGGATTGAACTACAGACCTTCAGTTTACAAGACTGACGCTCTACCACTGAGCTATAGGGGCTAGTCATTAAAAGCAATGTTTGTTTACTTTTTTATCAAATTACCTAATTATTTTATATTTTTATCAATATGTGAACGTAATTAATTACTGATACTATATTACAATCATTTCTTTCAAAATAAGAGAATAGTCATTCTTCCCTTGAATTTGGGTTTTCTGTATGGAGTTATACATGTTTGGAACTCTTCAAAATAGAGCCTAGAGCACTATTATTATATTTTGTTAGAGTTAAATGTAATATAATTTTTGGATATTATTATTATAATACTAACAATACGTCTGTTTTTACTCTTAATTAGCTTATTCTCTAATTTTCTATTTTGATTTTTAAATTTCAAAAAATACACAATTAAATGTTTTTGTCTTCTTTCGGCTGTGAGCACATAATCCACATAATAATCACTTTAATACGTGGTGGAGAACTGATTATATTGTATTAACTGAACATGATTACAATGAGATCAGATGATATGAATATATACAATAGAGAGTAACAGTGTGACAAGTATAAGAAGTAGAGAGTCATAGTGTGACAAGGATAAGAAGTTCTAAACAGACTCAAATACAGAGTCCTAATACTCCCCCTCAAGCACAGTGTATACTAGTAACCTGTAGCTTGTCCTTTAGGGAAGAAAATCTAGGTCCAGACAGAGCTTTGGTGAAGATATCAGCAAGTTGATCCTTTGTGGAGATGAAGTTGACTTGGATATCGCCCGAAGCTACTCGATCACGAACAAAATGATAATCAATCTCCACATGCTTGGTGCGCGCATGAAAGATTGGATTGGCACTCATATATGTAGCTCCTAGATTATCACACCATAATTTTGGAATGGAAATACCCGGAATCTGTATCTCACGCAGTAATGACATAATCCATAGAACCTTAGCACAAACATCTGCAAGCGCTTTGTATTCAGCCTTAGTGGATGACCTGGCAACAGTTCTCTGTTTCTTGCAAACCCAGGATATAAGATTACTCCCCAAGAAAACAGCAAAACCACTCGTGAATTTTCGATCCTCAGGACAACCAGCCCAATCAGAATCAGAGAAGGCATGAATGTCTCTAGATGAGCACCGTCGTATGCGTAAACCATGATCAACTGTTCCCTTAACATACCTGAGTACCCGTTTGAGCTGCTCCCAGTGTGACATGGTGGGAGCATGCATATATTGGCATAACTGATTAACTGCAAAGGATAGGCCAGGTCGTCTGACAGTGAGATATTGCAGTGCTCCAGCTGGACTCCTGTACTGTGTGGGATCATCATATAAATCTGAATTGGAGGGGACAGTTTTCAAGACAGAGATAGGTGTAGAAAGGGGTTTGCATTCAGACATTCCAGCCCGTTTTAAAATATCATTCATATACCGTTGTTGAGATAAAATAATCCCATTGTCACTCTTAACTGTTTCAATTGACTCTTGTGTGACCAAAACGTTTACAAATTTGACACGGATCATCATAGCACCAAAAACAATTGACCCCCGTGTGACCAAAACGTTTACAAATTTGACATGGATCATCATAACCACGTCTGCCATGCTGCTGAGCTTGATGCGGATTACCACAACCCATGAATCCTAAGCTGGACGGCGGCGAAGACGACTTCTTTGAAGAGATCATAGACGAGGTTTCAGAGATCAGAGGGATGAGCTGTTGTGGGGATCACCGAATTGTGTTTTTTTTTTTTTTGGAACCCTAGCTAACTGATACCAGATGAGAACTGATTGTATTGTATTAACTGAACATGATTACAATGAGATCAGATGATGTGAATATATACAATAGAGAGTCACAGTGTGACAAGGATAAGAAGTAGAGAGTCACAGTGTGACAAGGATAAGAAGTTCTAAACAGACTCAAATACAGAGTCCTAATAGTGGTAACAAAACATTAGACTTACTAACCTCCAGCCATAGTTTTCTATTATTGATGTTTGAGTGCTTTATCTCTTGAATATGAGTCCCTACCTTGGGGTTGTTGTAGAATCAATGTGAATAGAGAATAGATTTTTTCCTCAATTCTCTCATTACTCTGGATTATATATGAGTCGCTAACTGAGCAATGAGACACTACAAGAATAAAGACATTTAGTGACAAATCTTTTGTGACACTTCATAATTTAGTCACAAATAATTTTTTTTTTTTTTTTGTAACAAAAAAGTAATTCAACACCATTGTATAGTATAATTGTGATAACTTTTTTTTTTGTCACATATAATATGGTAATTGTGACGACTAAGTATTTGTTATGAATAAGTTGTCACTATTACTAGAATAATAGTGTCGTAACATGCGTTGTCACTATTTGTTGTCACTAAATGTATGTTTATTTTGGCGACATTATAATTATGGCTGGAACGAATGTAATTGTGACAAAAAACAACGTTGACACAAATTTTTGTACTTTTTTTGTGACAAATAGTTGTTGGTCACTCTTGTTGGTAATATTCGTGACAATGTTTTTTGTCAATAAAAATACAATTGATTTGTACCATTAGAAATGAGAAACAATTGTGAGAAGAAATATTGTTGTCACTAATATTGTCATTTTTTGTGATGAAATTATTACAAATATTTGTGACGCTCTATAATTCCGTAACAAAAATTATTAAATTGTAACAATAATTGTGTTGATTTTTTTGTCACTAATTTATTATAATTGTGACGAGTAATTAATTGTTAGAATGACTTCATCACTACAGTTAAATGGTTGGATATTGTGTGAAATGAATGTAATTGTGAAAATACATTTTATAATCACTCATTTTTAAATGTTCTTATGTGACAGATAAGTTCACTATTACTTTTTTTACTAATTTGTCATATCAATTTTTTTTTTTTTGAAAATAAACATGTATATGTTTAGTACCAACAATATATTTCAAAAAGATTTATTAAAATTAACCATTCAAACTCAAAATATATATTTTTTTTTTTGGAAACCTTCAAATTGAAAATATAAAAAGTAAAGAATTCGAAAGTTATAAATACAAATTCATATAGTACTCAATCATCATCATCATCACCACCTTCCTCATCTTCAGATGTTGGAATCTCATCATCTATCATTAATAAAAGCATCTCCATCACTATCAATTTCATCTTCTTCGATACTCATGGTATGAACATTTGATGAGCTTACTTCAACAGTTGGAACATCCAAATCAGGCCTATGCAATACCATAACATCATTATTATATACCTTCCAAATTAGAACCTTGAATGGTAAATGTGATACCCAGTTTTTTTTAGCCCTTCTAAATTCTTCTTTTTTCGATTGATCATTCATTTCTTTTCTAATGTGAAAAGAATTTAGAAGAAGAAGTTGCAAAATTTAAATAAATCGCACAAACAGCTTTAGAGAAACAAGCTACTGAAATCAAGCAAATTTTTGCTCACTTAGCAAGTAATCAAGTGCTTCAAAATATGCTAAGCAATCCATCTCCATCAACTACCTCAAATGAAGAATAATTAAAATATTTTATTTTAAAACATTTTTATTTGATTCAGTTGTATTTCTTACAAAGTATATTTGTTAGAAAATGATGTCTTTATATATATATATATATATATATATATATATATATATATATATATATATATATATATATATATTATTTGATGAGTAACATTTGTTGAATGAATTATTTTATTCTAAATAATAATTAAATTAAAATATTTAATTATGACAAAATTTTGAAATAAATAATTTTATATTTTGTGCATTTGGCTAGTATTATTTGGAAAAAGAATTGTGACCAAGTAATGGTCACAACAAAGTAATTATTGATACCAATTTTTTGGTCACTGATAATCATTTTTGCATCAAGAACAATTCTCACAATTAAGTACAACTATTGTGACTAAAGTGTTGCCACAATAAAATAATTAATTGAAACGATTTTAGTTGTCACTAGATCAATTTTTTTTAATAACATATTTGGTCTCAAATTATACATTTATTGTGACAACTATCATTATCACTCAAATACTACTTTTAGTGTAAGTAAATATTGTCACAAAAGTAGTGAGTAATTGTGATAGTTTTTCAAAAGTCGTCACTACTACAATAGTGACGGATGATATAGTGACGACAGGTGCCGACTTCAAAAATTGGTCACTAATTTCAATAGTGACTAAAATTGATAATTTCGGCGACAACTTTTGTTGTCACTAAATGTGAAATTTCTTATAGTGAGAGTACTTAGGAATTAACCCTTATACCTACATCTCATCAATGTACGTGAGTAATTACCTGACCAAATACTAAGCTTTAGTCAACCTAAAAAGTTTACACCACATAAAATACTTAATAATAATAATAATAATAATAATAATAATAATAATAATAATAATTAATGGAAACCGTTACATCTCTAAATTATTATAAATTTATAATTATTTCTCCAAAAATCAAAGAATATCTCCAGGTAATAAACAAAACTATTCCACACATCATAGTACATGAAATAAAATAGCGAGTTGCTACCCAAAAAGTAACCAAGTAAATAAAGCATGACTCGTGTCATGAGTTTAATTCTTATCAATTAATCTTTTTTTTTTTTTTTGATCGATTTAGATAGTGATGATAAATTTCCTATCATCCAAAAGAAATGCTGGTACAATATAGAATATTTTCAAGCCTGTCAAATTATATTTGTACATACTAACTTTATTCCTTTATTATTCATGTGTGTGGCATCAACAGTAGTATAATTTAAGTGCTGCTTAAAAGCCTCTATCCCCCACCACCACACACTTTGCCTCTTCTCACATTAAATTGTTTTTTTGCACTACAAATACCATCTCTTCCCTTCACAATTCCCCCATTCAATCCTGCCTTATTTCCTCTTTGCACTACTACTATACAAAGAAACCACAACCCGGCCTTCATTATCTATTAGTTGTTTGTTCTCATCTTAGCTAGTTTCTTCACAAACTAACCCACCATTTAATCAAGTTCTTGAATAATCCACCATGTCAACCATAGCATATAATCAAGATAATTTGTTATCATGTTTAGAGTCTCAAATCATTGAGACAGCAACTCTGAAACTCAAACTGTCCTCTCCAAGATGTATAGATTTAGGTGGTTGGGGTTTCCTTCAAAGCCTCCCCAACACTTCCATGGAGAAGGGAAAACAACCCACATATGTCCACCCCTTGTCCAAACAATTTTCATCTTATTCATGTTCTAAGCTAAGCGAGACAAGCTTGAAACTATGCACTGAGAATCTGGGAAGCGAAACCGGCACCGACATCGCCGAGACCGCAATTTTCTCATCGGATTCTTTACCGGAGTCGTCGGCGCTACCTCCCTTGCCACGACAAGTTGCGGCGCCAAGAAACCGCAACAAGGTGAAAGGAAAACCAAAGAACTTCCCGCCTCCATTGACAACGTTAAGTGCTCCGAATTCCCTTCAGGTTAGGTCCCGCCGCGAAGGTGGTAGGCTGATAATCGTGGCCGTAGAGGCCCCACCAAAGCATGCTTACTTCCAAGCTGAGCGTAGCCATGGCCGCCTCAGGCTATCTTTTTGCTCTGACTCGGCCAAAACAAACGGCGAAGTGGATGGGACCTGTCGCGATATTACCATTGAAGATGAAGAGGAGGAGGAAAGGGACATGGACGGTAATATATTGGAAGCTGAGGTGGAAATGGGAATGGAGAAATATCAAACACTAAGGCGGTGCATGGAAAGTGGGCATAGAAACAAAGCATTGTGTGATTTAAAGCCTTTATGCGTTGCTACATCTTAATAAGTTCAATTTTTGTGTTTGATTTAAATTTTTTATTTTATTTTTTCCGACACATTTTTAGTTGTACTGTACGGTTGTACCTTCGATCTATCCGTCCTTGGCTCATTCAACTTCTATATTTGTTAGAAATATAGGTCAAATACGCCATCTAATATACACTAAAATACAATTAGGTAATTAAATTCAAACAATATGCAATTGAGTTCCTAAATTATCTAATTTCATACAATTAATTCAATTTATAAATTTTTCAGGTTTTTAACAGGTCACCTCAAATTTAAAATATTTTTATAAATAATTATTTAAAATTAATTATGTAAAATTAAATTAATTTTTTTTATAAAAAAAGTTGCGCCGGAGACGAGGAAGTTTTTTGGTCTCTAGCCGGAGACTAAGAAGGTTTCTTCGTCTCCGGCACGGCGGTGACCTTTGTTTTAAAATTAAATTGTAAATAATAATTTTAAAATTATGGACGCGACCCGTTAACACGATACAAAATCGGAAACAAAAATAACGGGTTAGTGTTTAGCCTTAACATGTCGCGGATCATTAACGGGTTGACCCGTTAAGAACCTGTTATGTTTCATATCTTAGCGGGTCAACCCGTTAAACCTATTAAGAACCCGCTTAACCCATTAATATTATCGTGTTAACTCGTTTACACAAACCTGTTTATAACATGCTAAGAACTATTGTCATTTAGGTAAGAACCATTGTCATGAAGGAGATTACAAAACATATTATGAACATGACTAATGATGAATTTACTACATTAGGCCAAGATCCTACACCAATTATTGATGCTCAACAATCTGAAATTTGAATTTTTGTTGTGTTCAATTTATTCTAACAACTAGCATGGACTTCTTTAATTATGATTTTTGGATGCTATTTTATCATTTTATGAATGTTATAAATTGATTTTTTTTTTTAGTTTGTTTGATGGATTGAATTGTAGGTTTTATTTTTATTTTTTTTTATATAACTTAACTTTAAATTTTTGTTTTTTTTTTTTTTTAAAATATATTAATAGGATTAGCGGGTTTAAACGGGTTTCATGTCATATCGTGTCGACATGACTCGAAACATGTTAAATAAACGTGTCTATCATGTCAACCCGTTAACAAATCGTGTTCGTGTTTGTGTTAAAAATTTGAACCCGTTAATCTTAACGCGTCGTATCCGTGTTTAGCCTTATCGTGTTCATGTCGTTATCGTGTCGACTCGTTAACGAGCCCGTATACACGAATTACCAAGTCTACATATGAGTTAATTTTTTTTTTTTTTGGTCCTAGACTTATTAGGAGTTTGACACATTTAGCCTACCATAAATAATTTTACCACATTTTATCAGACCTATTAAATATTAGACAATTTTAGTCCACGGTCAAAATCTACGTTCTCTCTCCGTAAAACTGAAGGATTTTTTTGTCCTTTCCGGTCTTACCTCTAACATCATCTATAGGAATGTAAATCTCCAGCCGTTTCATCACTTCTTTCTTGATGTACAATATTCGCCCGACACAAGGCGCAATTGGAGTCAGATTTAAGTCATGGATCAATGCACCGCAATATAGGCTGCAAGTTTGGGATCACTCATTGCCACCATTTAATTCTCTGATATGAGATTATCACACCCCTAGAGCTGAGTTGGAATCACAGAACAAAGAAACAGTGAGAAAGAGAAGTTTTGCAGAAAATTGGGAGAAGAAGTTGAAGAAGCTAGAGAGAAAAGAGAGAAATTTCATAGCCAAAAGTCATGCCCCTGCCTTCCACAGTCTGCTTCCTATATTACATTATTTTCCAAGCAAAATTAAAGGAAATAAAACAATAATAAAAGTTACTGATGATGCACGATGCGTGAAATTCTCACAACGGCTTCTGGAATATATGGCCAACGACTTGCTGCCAGCAGCTTCTTCATACGACACCGTTTTGGTTTGTGAGGTGGATCCCAACTACTGCTTCAATATTTCCCTTCAATGCTTGGTCTGTGACATTACCCCCTCCAACAATTGATCCTTGTCCCCAAGGATCAAACCTTGGAAACTGTTTAATCACATGATAATAATCTTCCCATGTAGCATCCTCCTTAGGCAAATTAGCCCATTGCACCAAGATTTGAGTAACTGCTTTGTTGTTTCTCTTCACCAACCTCTTGATTAATACAGCCACTAGTTCAGCCAATATTTGTCCATCAGGTTCGGTAAAGGGGGGGGGGAGGGGGGGTGGGGGTTCGCCCTGTAGTATGATTTCAGGGCCCGCTCTCATTTTAAGTTGGGAAACATGAAAGACTGGATGAATAAGAGTTCCTGAAGGTAACCGCAACTTATAGGCCACTGATACCACCTTCTCCAGTATTTGATAAGGACCATTGTATTTGGAAGTTAGTTTAACGTTGTTTCTTACTGCCACTAAAACTTGCTTGTAGGGCAGTATTTTGAGGTAACTGTTCTGAGCTTGCAGCAAGTTTCACTTAAGAGATGCTATCATTGCTGCCCTGTTGCTTAACCAACTTCCTGCTTCATCATTAGTTACATGTCCCAGAGCCAACATAGGAGGTAAATAATCATAAAGAGCCTTGAAAGGTGGAATTTGCAGAGAATGGTGATAATTGGTATTATACCAGTACTATGCTAAATACAATCACTTTGCCCAGTCTTTAGGCCTTTGGAAAGCCATGCATCTCAAATAAGTCTCAACACATCTATTAACCCTCTCAGTCTGACCATCAGTTTGGGGATGGTAAGCTGTGGATAAACTCAATTTTACTTGCAGCTGCTTTGTAACACCCCAAATTTACCAATACTTTTAAAACTTACATAAAAAAGGTAATTTCATTATAAATTCCCAAACAGAGCATGAACTAAGCATAATAGTCGGGGTGTTATGTCACACCTACATTTGAGAACCTATGTGCACAGGCTAAACTATTCAAACATAAGAAATCCTCAAATCGATATTCAATACAACTCCAAGGCACGCAGGCCAATAATTGAACTATTCTAACTAAGCCCAGGCTCTGAATAGCGCGCTCCGAAGCTAAGGCTCATTACCTGAAAAACATTCGGTATAACAACCGTCAGCGAATAATGCTGGTAACCCACTCCAACGCGTTAAGTACAATATAGGTAGATATAAGAAACTGATTTTGAAACTGGAATACATATATATACTTACAAAACTCTAATTTAAATCCGAGAATAGACTCAATCAAGCAATAGCAGATGCATTCAATACAATTAAACACAAACATAAAGATTTTAGCATGCATCCTAAGGTCACAAGACTACACCATACCAACCATACCAATATTCAGTTGTCATCACAATCAAACAATCAACAATAAGGCACGTATTGGAGTACACACATAAGGTGGTGCCGCAGGACCATTCACATGACCCGAACCTTGAGTTCCATTGCCAAGGGGTCAGTGCATATAGCTCTGACATGGCCTTGCAGCACTTTAACTTGTACCGCAGCACAAGGAGAACCAAACGATTGATCGCAACTAATCAATGAACCGCAGCTCATTTGTATCATAAATGTTTGATCGCAACCAAACTATGGACCGCAACCCTATTATCATATATGTCTTATCACAACCAGATTATGGACCGCAGCCCTATATATATATATATATATATATATATATATATATATATATATATATATATATATATATATATATATATATATATAACAGCCGATTGTTCCCAACCAATCCAACTGCCTGTATAGCCAACCGGCCGGGTTAATACCTGGTTGTTCTCAACCAACTAGATAGTCATTATTTGGGTTATCATGCACAACACCATAGAAGCCAAACAACATGCAAGTATGCAACCCACATTAACACATAACGAGGGGGAATCATCGGGGAACACTTAACCCAACATAACTCATACGTAACAACTACATTAACCCACCCATGACACTCCTACGGGATCATACACCTTCCTCCTAGGCCAACGGGATACCAATTCAACTAGCATGCAATAGACAAAACTCTTTTATCCTAAGAACGGCACCCGATACATCAAACTAGACTCACACACGACAAACGGGGTTCCAGCGGGTAGGTGGTGGGTGGAGGACCACCCGCCAACCTCCCGCCGGCGGCGAGTACTATTCCAGCGGGTGGCCGGCAAGAAGTCCACCGCCCACTGGAACAATAGAGGCGGGCAGTGGGTAGGTGGCGGGAGGTCACTCCCCCACCTACCCCCCACTGATACACAGGCAACTTTATGGACCCGGGATCCCTCGTGGAACCTGAAACCATGTCCAAACACATTCAAACACATAATGACAACACCACGTATTCAATTAACGGAATCACACCAAGAATCACACCAAATACACCCTAACACAATCCCTAAACATGTCAAGACTCAACACCTGATCATGCAAAATCCCACCCAAACATACCAAGAATAACATAATACGAAATCCACATTATTACCCTAGGGCTATAGACATAATCAATATACAAGATCGTTCATATAATTTATCATAGTATCAAGAACATCAAGATTATCGCATAAACATCAAGATTATCACATAAACATGAAGGTTATCACATAAACACAATACAAACCCTAGGCAAAGCTCTATCAAGACTCAAGCACAGAATCATATATCAAAGGAGCCAATGAATAAGATATAGCGAGAAAAATAGGTTTTGTTGAGACATGGGTTACCTCTTAGCCTTAACCAATATCCTTGGCTACTAAGGTTCTTTCTCTAAGATCTTCTTCTCGTGGGTTCTCCTACGTTTGGTGGCAGGGAAATTCCTGGGATATCTTGTGTGGTAGAATCACTTGTGGTAGGATTTCCAAATGCTTCCTAAGTCTATATATATATATATATATATATATATATATATATATATATATATATATATATATATATATATATATATATATATATATATATATATATATATATTTAGGAGTCTTGACTAGGGTCTGAATAGTAAGGATCCACTTATCCTATTTCTTATAGGATTAAGGATTTGGTTTTAAGGGTAAGGGTCCATGATCCATGGTGGGCCACCTCAATTAATTAAAGG